GGGCCAGGGCCGCTCACGCATCGAGTCTGATTCAGAGGATGAAGAGGCTGTCGACGACCCCACGAGCAGCGACACCAGCGAGAACGAGATGACGAACGAGGAAGATGAGAGCGAGGCGGAGGAGTCTGGAGAAGAGGGTGGCGGGGAGGACGGCGAGGCAGAGGAGAGTGGTGGGGAGGACGACCAGGTATATCCACCAATATATAAAAATTTAACATGATAACATATCTTACCATACCATTACTAATGATTTCAACTACATTCCAGAAATTAAATTCACCACAGTAACTTGCATCGCACAACACAATAACTTCAAACAAAAATAGAAAACATTCATTTGGTACAACTGACTAAAATCACCGCCAATATACAAACACAGTTAATAAACAACAATACAGAAAGCGTTCCCCTACTTCTATCTGACCTGAGTTAAACGTGTGTTGTTCTTCAAACTACAGATAATGGAAGAAATCAACTATTGCAAACTATATCCAGAACCAGAAAGGGATCTTAAGAAAAAACTAGAAGACGTATTAATGGAAAATAAGGTACTGAACATAGGGAAGCCCCATGACTTCACAGGACATCGTCTGTTTCCTTTGCTTCTTAAATCCTGTATAAAACTTTACAACAAACACCTCTGCAATGATTGCGGAAGGACACACCAGTTCTTCATCGCAGGTATATTCCACTAACCAAGAATAAAACATGCAATTTATTCAATTTACATTAAACGCTAACATATTAATTTAAACAGGAGGGTATGCAGCTTACCTGGCTGATAAGACCACAGAGTTCAGTGACATAGATGTTTATATCCATTTCACAAAAGATATAACAAGGAGAACCACCGAAACTGACAACTATCTAATTTACACCTTTGGAAACGTCGCCACACAGACAATTCTGAATCAGGGCAGGGATAAGCCTTGTGTGCAATTCATTCGGGTAACTTAATATTCCATTATTTCACTTTAACTCCCTGCTATTTCATGTTAATTAAATCATACAATTTTGTTAACAGGTCCACTTCAATCTGGACCTAAGCCCCACTGACATGGACACATCTATATTCAGAGATTGATGGCTCTCTACGTACTTTCAAAATTCGACATGCCAATTTGCAGAGTGGCAGTAAAGTTACCACTTACTTTGACGTCAACATTTGGCCAGTTAATAGACTGCAGCAGTTTCAGGCTGTACAGGCATCCACTAAATAGAGAACGAGTAGCAAAGTACATAGAGCGAAAAATAGAGGACTCGGTAACTCCTCCTTCGCTTAAAGTATGCATTATTTTCACAATAATTACTTCCTTTGACAAAGTGTTGTCACATAAAAATAATCACCATTAATACTTAATTTCATTGCACTTAAAAATTGCTGATTGGATAAAATTAACTTGAACGGTATTTCTGCATATGTTCAATATTTCTGCATTTGCAGCCTAAACTCTAATGCTCTAATGTTAATCGAAACTATACTGTACTGTACTCAAAACTTGTTCATTTCATTAAACTATAAGTTAAGATGAAGAGACTGTCAAATTTGCACATATACACCAGATACACATACATAAAGACTTCTCAGTTCTTTCTGACCTATTTCCACATACACATGACGGTACTCTTTCAGACGATCATAGATAATTTACACTTCTAATGTTTTCATACTTCCGTACATCTAAAATTTACATACTATTCCTAGCCTCTATGTAGGGTAGTAGAAGCTAAAACGCAATACACACAGATCGAGTTTTACTTCAACACCGATAGAGCGCAGCACATATGGCGGCAAAACTGCAACTTTTAAAAACGTAAATACTACTGACACACGAATACCCTACTTTAATTTACACATAGCAGCACTTCAACCATTTAATTCACACGAAATTACTATGAAAATTATTCACTAATCTATATTCAACCATTTAAACACACAGTTCTATAAACATAATATATTTTTTGTTAACTGAAATAATTTTCAGTTGCTATGGTTATTAAACTAAAGAGCATACAACATTTATAGTTTCAGAGTTGCGGATATTTGGAATGGTTTACGTGTTTACTTACGTAAGTAGGAAGGGCGGGGGTGATGGTTTGGGAGAAATGTGCAGAGGTAACTATTGTTTCGGGTTCATCTTGACAAAAAAAAAAAAAAAAAAAAAAAACGAAAATGTTTTATGCCCAACGATGATCGGCGGCGTTTTTTTGGCGCGCTAAACGAGGCAACACGTGGGCGGACAGCCAGCTGGGACTTGTTAGCGGACGCTGGAATGGTAAAGGTCGAGCGAGGGCGGCGGCGACTCAACTTCAGGGCATGGCTTACAGTACTCCGGGTGGTGCCGCGGGTGGGCGAGGCGTGAACCCGGTGCAGCATTAGCATTCCGTGCATTTTGCTGCGGCCAAGCCGTGGCCAAACGATGTGGCCTGGGAGGAGCGATGCCGGGCATGGCCGCACCCAGGGTGCCAAGCATGACTCACACGTCTCTTCGACTGTGCCGATTGTAGCATCCAGATCGCGGAGGAGGAGAAGGCTCTGGAGGGGGAAGCCCTGCTGTGCTCGACGGACCCGAGGGTAGGGTGCCAATAAAAAAATATATTTTTGATTTCTCCAAATACTCATTCAGTTCCTGATACAAGACCTACACCTGAGTTCTGAAAAAAAAAAATTGAGCCTGATAGCTATCGATTTAGAGGTCGCGCAAAGCTCTCAAACTTTCAATTTTAGTGTTTTTTTTTTTGTTTTGTTTTTTTGCTTAGTTAGGAATTAAATTTTAGCAGCGCTCAAAATTGGTTCAAAAACGCGGTCAGGGTGTTTCAAGACGTATTTTGACGGAAGGAATCGATTTCCGAGGTCCATTTGAACCTGTCAGGCCATTTGTAGCCTCTATCCTCGAGAAAACTAAAATTTTATGTTTTTTTTTTTTTCGGTTTGCGAAAAGATTCAGGAGGCTTAGACACCCAGGCGTCTGAAGGACCGATTTTAAGGTACGAAAATAATCGTTTTTGCATGCTCTTTTGTTTGAAATGATCGAAAATGTACCTAGGGCCATCCCTCTTGCAGTTTTTAAATGAGGAAAGTCACGCGAACCGACCCGCCGGTCCGTCCACCCGCCTAACGAGCAGCGCCGAGCGCAGTTGTGAGGGAAAGTGCGAGGGGGAAGGGTGCACGTTGAGATTCGGTAGACATTCTCGAGACTATCTGCATTTGGTCGAGTGCCGGAGCTAAGACAGCAGCTGGCTGTAACGCACAAACGTACTCATACGCCGCGCCGGCCGCGGGCCCATTGTTGCCGACTGATGCTGGTGGGGTGGGGGAAGGTGCGCCGCCGTCGCCGCCGGGCCGCGCGCGCGCGCTGCAGTACGCACGAGGCGCTGGCAGGGCACGGCAGGCAGCAGCGGCGACAGGGCGGCGGCGCATCACAACAATCAAACGTCAAGGTCACGCCCGAAGCCAACAGCTTGTCTCCGTCATGGGGTCCTTCGGCCGCAGTCGATAGCGACTTTTCCTCGGCATACGGTCATTCCCTCGACTACCGTACAAAGATAAGTTACCGTCAACTCGAGAAGTGCTGTCTGTTTTTCTCCACGCACATTCTGTTGAACGGAAAACACCGAGTGCTAGCTGACATCGCTTGCTCGCAAGCAGCCACGGACTGGCCCGGTCGGGCTAGTCGGGAAAACCCGACCGGGCCCCAGGCAAAAAGGTATCTTTTCGGGCCCCCTTGGGGGCCCAGCGGGCCCCTACGGGGCCCAACGGCCCCCCCCCAGGAGATAACTTAGGCCCTACTTGTCAGAATGTGACTGAATGTCAGTGAATGTTAAGACGAAAGCTCCTCCGGCCACATTAATGACGGAAGGGAAGCCTGTAAACATACAGTAATTAATTAGTACACGTGTTGGGGGTAGGGGAATACGACTAGAAAGCTTACCGCCACGGGCCCCGGGCCCGGGTGGAGAGCGAACTTGTCGTCGTCTGAGCCCTCAGCCTCTCCTCACCACCAACATTGGCCATCGGTCGAGCGCCGCACAGCTGCGACGCGACGCGACGCTCGGGGTAGGCGGCCGGGGCCCGGAGGACCTCCCGGAGGAGGCTAGTGCCAGGGAAGGCGTGTTGAGACCTGTCGGCTGGCGGGCGCGCGGGCGGCGGGCCGGCGGCTGGCTGCGCCGCTGCGGGTGGAGCGCGTTGCGTTGCCAGCGCCAGCCACACCCCCTCCCCATTGTCTCGTCTACGGTCTACACTAACGCTACAGCACTGCCACTGCCTGTCGCGCCGCCCGCTACTCGCTACCCCGGCCCGGCGGACTCTGCGCTACGTGCTCCTCCTGGTGGCGCTACGGCTACGCTACGCTTCGCATCATCTGCCGTCCTAACCTCACTCACTCCTCAATCTTTCACCTGACGACCCGACCCTCGCGGTAAGCCAACATATTCTACACTTCCCTCGCAATTATTTGTCGATGGAGTGGGGCCTAAGTAAAGGGGAAGTAGGCGGTGCACGGTGCACGGCGCATACGCTAAACGCTGAACAGTTTTTCGGTTATTTTACAGAAGTGGGGAGCTTGAGCTTGTAATGGAAGGGAAAGGCAAAGGCAAAGGTCGCAAGTACCAGCACCAATCGGGGTCGGCGAAACGCAAGAAAAAAGATGCTGAAAGTCTTGCTCAAGCGGGAAGTGACGCGAAGCAGAGAAAACTTCCCTTTCTTTCTCCCTCAGCAACCCCGTCCCCGTCTCCGTCACCTCAAATATTCTCATCGCCATCGCCTACTCCTACTCTGGTAGAGACTGAGAGTGATAGTGAACTGGCCAGTACGGTCAGAACTACTTCTGATTTCGGTGCTTTAGACATGAGCATGAGCACGAGCCGCCGCTCGCCGAGTCCTAGTGCTGCCGCAGCCGACGATCAGCCACTGCCAGTAGCCTTATCGCCGACTTTGACATCAAATGCTCCCCCTGTGTCACCTCCATTTTCACCTAGTTCTGTGTGCTCTGAAGAGTTGGATGACCCCCCCCGAGCCCAGTTCTGTGTGCTCTGTAGAGTTGGGTGAACCCGAGCCCGATCCCAGTTCTGTGTGCTCTGTAGAGTTGGGTGACCCCGAACCCAGTTCTGTGTGTTCTGTTGAGTTAGTTGTGGGCGAGCCCAGTTCTGTGGAGAACGCCGGTGACGTTGAAGACGACCCGGAAATTGTTTCTGGCAAGATTAGTACAAAAAATCCGTTTGCGAGTTTTGGTGACAGTGATACCCGAAGCATACTCTCCGATGATGAGAAAAAGCTGCTCATGGCTATACATCCAATCCAGCCTGATAGTAAAACTGGAGTGGAGATAAAACTACCCTTTGACAAAGAAAGAGTGTACACGCAGGGGCCGGGTGGGAACAAACGGATGTGGCTGTCCTATTGTGCCAACAGACGTCGACTCTTCTGCTGGTTGTGCCACGCTTTTGGGGATACTAAAAGCCATTACGCCACAGTTGGCTGGGGCGACGATGCAAAGTGGAAAGCACGGCATTGCTATAAGAGTATTGAAAAGCATGAATTAAGTGTTGAACATTTGGCTGCAGTCAAGGCGTATTTACACTTTTCTGAACGCCGGTCGGTGCTGCAGGTGCTCAACACCAAAAGTTTGTCCCTAAGAGCAAAACAAGTGGCTGACAACAGGGAGGTGGTCCTCAGAATAATAAACATTGTCCTTTTTTTGGCAAAACAAGGCATTGCATTTCGTGGTGATAAAAATGAGGCTGCTTATACTCTCCACTCTTCGTGTAATCATGGCAACTTCCTCGAAGAGGTTAAGAGTCGGGCAATATTTGACCCAGTGCTTAAGGCCCACCTCGATAAAGCGATAGGGATGAGCCAGGCAAGACACGATGCCCACTCAACGAGCCGTGGTAGGGGCTCACTGATTACCTTTCTGAGTAAAAATACCTTTGTGAATATCCTTGAAATAATAACAAGCATGGTTCTGGACAAAATTAGAGAAGAAGTGGAAGAAAACGGTGGGAAGTTTAGTTTTTCTATGGACGGCTGTCAGGATATTTCTGTGAAAGAGCAAATAGCAACTGTACTTAGGTATGTCAATGAAAATGGCCCCGTCGAGAGGTTTATTGACATAACAGCACTTACTTCGACCAGTAGCGAAGCTATGCTCAACCATGCTATCAAAACTCTGTCAGACGTCGTTATCATGGGCAACTTAACGGGATTTTCGTTTGATGGTGCCGGCAATATGGCTGGAGTCAAAACTGGTCTCCAAGCTCGCTTGAAGGAAATGGTTCCGGATAGTATTTTTCAACATTGTTACTCACACGTCCTAAACCTTGCGCTCGAAAAGGCTTGCAATTGTATCCTACCATCAGTTGCTTTTTTTGACCTCATGCGTGAAACAGCCACCACTATTTCCGAGTCCTACAAGAGAACTGATATTTGGACCAACACACAACACATGTAAACTTTTCATGGCCCGAACACGGATGTTGGTCAAACAAAACAAGACACGATGGTGGTCCAAAGCAAAGGGTTTGAAGCGCATATTTGCAGACGGTGAAGTGTCTTTGCTACCAACTATCATAATAGTTCTTGAGATAATAGCAAATGACACGAGTATTCCCGGCAAAACAAGATCAAAGTATGCTGGCCAACTCAAGAAATGGTGTTCTTTTGAAACGCTCTCGGTAGGAATGCTGTACCACCACATTTTTAACAAGACACAGCCTGTCTCGGACTACCTTCAGAGCCCTCAACTTGACCATGTCCAAGCGGGCCGATTAGTGACCGGGTTGATCCCTGCGGTGTCTTCCATCTCCCTGGACAATGTGCTTGAAAAAGCATCACACCTTGCTGAGAGCTGTAATAAAGAACTTGAAGAGTTAAGCGAAGATTCTGACTTCCTGAAAAACTATTCGCCAGTCACCGCTCGAGTGAAGACTGGATGCAGCTCCAGCTCAACTTCTACAGCCTCGGCAGGGACTTCGAGATCGAGACGAGTATCGGTTGTCCCCGTGCGACATGGCGAACGTGCTGGTAAGTGTAAATTTAAAAAAAAACACAATTAAATTAACTACAATATTTCTTATTTCTTATTTCTTATACATGCACCCCTTTTAATAATTATTTTGTAGTTGATGAAATGCGGCAGCTGGCTGAAAACGCACCTTCACCCAATCATATGCTGAAAGTTCACACCCTTCTACCAGTAATGGACCGCTGCCTGTCGGAGCTGCGTCACCGCTTTAACGAAGAATCTCTCACTCTATTTAAGTCATGCAGTTTCTTGAGTCCCCAGAGATTTGCTGAAATAAAAGAGAACGGAGTCCCTAGTGGCGCTCTTGATCATCTCTGTAAGTTAGCTGGTGCTGAAAGTGCAGTGGTGATCCAGGAACTTCTCGCATTTTCTCAGAGCTATGAGACACTACAAAAGACTATTCAGGCAGATTTTATTCAGAGGGAATCAGAGGATTTTGATTATCAGGTTAGAGTTTGCCCGTTTCGTTTCGGTACTTATCTGAGATTAAATTATTAACTAGAAGTAATTCCGTTGCTTTTACATGTTACGCAGGATAGTGACGGCGAAGACGCAACAGAGGCGTCAGAGTCAGAGGCTGAAAGCGGATTCACTGGTTCTGCTAACACCACCAGCAGCAGCAGCACCGCTACCGGCTCGCAGTCCGCGTGTAAGGGGTGTCTTCGGTGCCCGTATAGGATTTTGCGAAAACATGGCCTGTACAGTTCTGCATTCAAGGAGTTGGCAAAGGTATACCAAGTCGCGCTCACTCTGCCTTGCACACAGGTTGGTAATTATCTGCTTAAGGTATTTCTTCGGTATTTCTCCTCAACGTTTTATCTTCACCACTGCATTACTTGATTGTTGTGTACAGGTGACTTGTGAACGATGCTTCAGCCGGCTCAAGATCATTAAGAACAGGCTACGAAACCGTATGGAGGAAGACTTACTGCGCTTCTGCATGATAATTTCCGTTGAGCGTGAACTAGTTGACACACTAGATATGACCGACATAGTCAACAGATATGCAAAAAGCTCCGAAGAGCTGCGCAGGCATCTTATTGAGCATTAAAGAGTGGATTTTAAAGGTCTTATATGAGTTCTTTTTTTGAAAACCTACGTCGTATTCCTATTTTAACGAAAAAAAAAAGGTGTTTGCCCCTGGGAGGTAGGCAATTTCGGGCCCCTCGGGGCACTTTTCCGACCGGGCCCCTAGACCCCCAGTCCGTGGCTG